TTCTTGCTTGCCTATCGGACTGCTGTACATGAAAGTACCGCAAAGACGCCTGCATTTGCAAATTTTGGAAGGGAATTGAGATTACCGGCAGATCTTGTATCGGGCTGTCCACCTGGCGACTCTCGCACCGAATTTAGCGATTACATAAGCGAGTTAAGGGCAAAAATGTTGGACATTTATGAGCAGATCAGGGAGGCCGGTCTTCAAGCTAGTGATCGCGCAAAGACGCGCTATGATCGACGAGCCAATTCTGTTGGGTTTGAAGAAGGGTCATTGGTCTGGCTTCATAATCCAGTCAGAAGGAAGGGAAAATCTCCGAAGCTGCAACCGAGTTGGGAAGGTCCTTATGAGATAGTCACGAAGATCAATGACATTACTTACAGAATTCGGAAGACTTCAAGGAGCCCTTTGAAAGTTGTCCATATAGACAGGTTGGCGAGGTATTACGGCAGCAACGATGCTCGGGACGAGCGAATCTAAGAGGGGGGCAGTGTGACGGAAAAGTGGTTCAAACTCTTTGACATCATGACGTCAATGGATGGTTGTCAAACGTTGCCTAGAGATTGTAAATTTCGTCGTGAATTGTCAACACGAGTTGGTGTAATCGGCAAGGCGTGTGGATTACACCACAGTGACCCCGAGTTCGAGTCCCGCCGTGAACATGAAGTTTTTTAGTTGATAGAAGTTTTGTGGAATTTTCTGGAATTATTTGTGTGAAAGAAATGAAAAATTAAAGAGCGAGAAGGAGAATAAATAAAAATGAGTAACGAAATTATTGGAAGGTTCTGGAGTCATGACGATCAAAAAGAATAACGAAATTGAATGTTCCAGAACCTGAACCGGGGGTATATAAGCGGAACTGCGGCTCACCGCTGGCAGTTGAGTTCTAAGTCCAAAGCGATTCGGAAGAAAAAGAAGAAAAGTGAGTGAAATAGTGAAGTGCAGTGAAATAGTGAAGTGCGGTCAGTTAAGTGAGTTAAGTCAGCGTGACAGTCGGCCGGACTCTGCTGGAGAGGAACGCCGATAACTTAACTCCGTGGACGCTGTAACTTAGGTATAATAGAAGTTCTGAAAACCGGTATTAGTGTTTCATTTCATCCAATCCCGTAACCCAAGCCCGCATAGTCAGGAACGTGACGTCAGGCACGTAACAATATATTTGTAGGTACTGTCACACAATATCACTCACCATTGCCAAAAATAAGTAAACGGTTCTTTCCTTTCCTTTTTTAAATAAGTAGTTATTGTTTATTCAAAGGAATATTTACAGATTTTTAAATTTTAGTTAGATCCTGTGTCGTGGATGCGTTACAAACATACACACTTACCTAAAATTTCACCAAGGTCCACATCACATCCTGATCCGGAACAATTATCTAAGTATTACCTAGTGGAACACACAAAAATTTATTCCACGAGGGAATCAAAATCGTTGGAGGGCAGCCGGTTGCTTAGCCACCGTGTCACACTTAGAAGGCGCCACATTTCTGCACTGCAGGAAATAAGATCTTATTATAACAGCTGCTATTTCGAAAAAATATTTGCGTAAATACTTTAGGTATTAAATCATCCGCGTGCGCCCCTAAGAACCAATTGGGTAAGGTACCGCGGCCTCGGCCTAAAGCAGGAGAAGGAACGGGGGGTTTTAGTCAGTAAGTGTCTGACACTCCCTCTCTCCTCAACATGGATATTTGAGATTTGAGAGAGAAGTCACTTGATGATTTTCACAAAAAGGGTATTTAAGTATCATATAATAACCACAACGTAGTATCAAACCAAATCGCTTTCTCTGTCCCTATATCCATCCCTATATGCATTAAATCTTTAAAACTACCCAAGTAACTTTTAATACAAATCCATTAAATAGTTAAAAAAAAAATTATCAGTACCCGTGTGAAGCTTGGACGGGTCGCTATTACCTATAAGATAAAGAAACAAGTTATCTAAAGATTTAACACCAAACATCTGGTTTTCACTTAACGAGATACTTACAAACAATATAGTGATGTTTAAGCACCTAATACGCCGGATGACGGGTAGATACAGCTTGTTGCGGTAATTAGGAATGTGGATTACGCAACACGACCATTCCAGTGCGTTTATCGAACTAGCCTGCCACCGCAGACATAAATTATACGGACAACGCAAGTAGGCTTTACAGGCTGACTGAAATGAACAGGCTTAGTTTTGTCCTCCCACTAGTTATGGGTGGTTTTTGAACTGATTTTCGTTCGTGCTTTGGCCATGATTAATTTAGTTTTTTAGCTTTATTTTAGTTACACTTTTCGCTTGATTATTAACTATTGTGAACCTTCCTAATTTATAGAAAATAACTATTTCTATGAATTTACTAAGAAAATCTCTATTAGGTACCTACTTTCAATTTACAACGAGATTCTCATGATTCATGAGCAGCGTGCGACGAAAGCTAAGGTAGTAAAACATTGCAGATTCACCAATTGATTTATTTTAAGTAAAATTAAATATTATTAATTAATTATTATGTTTTCGGCTTACTCACGTAATAATTTGACGCGATACTCGACTTAGACTTAGTTACCTACTCAGTAGCAGCACGACAGTCGCCGTGTCGCGTGTCGCGGAATGCTGCTCATGAATATGGGCCTCTAGCATGGCTTGAAACAAGTCGAGTATCTCGTCAAATTATTACGTGAGTAAGCCGAAAACATAATAATTAATTTAGAATGTCTCACGAAAGTTATAATAAAAATGAAATGTTATTAGTTTTAATTTTATTGCCTATAAAAATATTTAATGCCGACAACCACTTCCAAAATGTATGTATGTCGGTACTAAAACACAAATTCCATCTAAAGTTGCGGGTGCAAGCACAATAATGTACGTACCGCGCGACCCGAAGCAAGAGAAGTAACGAGTTTTAGTTAACATCTAATAGCCCGATACTTCCACTTACCCCACTCAGGACATGAGAAGTCATTTGATGATAATTCTATTTAAAAAATAAAACAAAATATAAGTACAAAACGTCAAGAATAAGTTACAGATACCTGAAAAAGTGGGTACTTACTTAGAAACGTAAACAGTTAGGTATCGTTGTATATTCGAAAAGCCTGTTATTTACTTACCTACCTTCTCTTGCTAAAATACGGTGCCAAAAGGCACGGTACTTACTTTAATACCTACCTACCGTTTTTACTTTGTTTTCCCTCCTATTTTTCCATGTTGATTTAGGAACAAAGAAAAACAAAATGTGTCTGTTTAACATCAACCGCCGCACATGTAATTGCGGGCAATGGACCACTTTTAGGCTCTAGGCAATATTCTTCGACGCCATCTTTGCTCTTCTCTTGTAAGTGGCCAAGTAACACCTAAATACTTATACTTACTTAAAATAGTAGAATTATGAGTAGGTAGAGTATATCTTTTTATTTTTTATTTTGAACATGGATTTAGTGCATGACACAAAGACTATTAAGGATATTAGAAGCTGAGACGAGTCTAAAGTTGACATGGTGAAAAACAAAAAAAAAAGAATTGTTGGATCTGCAGTAGGTTACCTTCCCCTAACCACAAGGAGCAGACAACGCAAGTATACACACGCCTGTATTCTGTGAGTCGTGGTATCCACTGCGGTTGATTCGAGCCAAAATAGTAAAAAAGAGATTTAAACCTTTTGATTCAAAGTCAAAACAATTTATTTTAATTAGACAATTAAATGCACTCTTGAACGTCAAACAAAAATTAAAGAAGCAATCAAATGCCTTCTACACATCACAAAATATTGCAATAGCGTAGGTATTGTGTTTTTTGTCGGCAAACGAATAGACGGATTGCCTGATGGTAAGCTTTTATTTGTATGTATTTTTTTTGGTTTGTTTATATGTATACCTATAAAACAACGTATAACCTTGAACTTTCACAACCAGCGAACCACCAAGGCGCCGCCCATGGACACACGGAACACCAAAGGACTTACGAGTGCGTTGCCGGCCTTTCAGGGATAAGGGTTTCGGGTACTTAATTATTTGAAAATTAAAACTGCAGTTTTTTTTTTTTAATTTTTTAGAAGATTGATAGAATGTGCTAGGAATGATACTCCCATACTTGTTTCGGATATTTTTTAATAAAATTTCAAATTATAGAGCAACTTGCAAACTTGCAAGATGGTGTCCATTTTCCGTATTTAAAAAAACCGTATGCCTAATATAATTCTTAAATAATACCGACAGGAAAAAAAAGGATGTTATTTAAAAACAAAGACATCATACGATAATCTGTATGTACCAAAATAGAATTGTCACAATACTTAATGGTCATGTTTACCTTTTTTAAAACTTATACTTAAGAAGCATTTTAACTAATTTCAACTTTTGTTTGCTTTAAAATCCGAAATCCAACTGCAATTGCCATCTATGGCTTATTTCGCTAACTTTTCAGACAGCTGGCTTTATTAAAAAATATTTGTGTAATATTCTGTAGAATCAAGAAATTCTGTGACTCGAGTAGGTTGCTTATGATACAATGAAATTCTTAAGACTGTACTGAAATTAAATGTTAAGGTTCAAAATAGATTTTATTTAAGAAAATATTTTAAATAATATAATAATATGGCAGCACTACATCTATCAGTTTCAGTCTCGGCCAATGAACTTGCATCCAAAGCCAAGTGCTACAATTAAAAAAAAAATCTGTTCCAGTCATCGTGACATATTATTAGTCGTGTTCCAAACTTCCATTCACCTTCTTTCACTAAAGGCCTTTATTAGCATTGCTTCGCCATTGAAAAGAGATAGCAATACACTTTTCGTATAAGTTAGAGGGAGAGAAATAACATTCAATTGGCGAAGGATTAAGAGAGGTTGTCAATACTGTCAAAACTGTCAAAATAAAATCCAAGCTTCGTGAAGCCGTGGTGTTTTTCATTAGAAAATTTGAAATAAATATTTATATACTCTCAAATATCTTAAAAGTCAATATCTAGTAGTAGAATATAGTTATATTAGAAGTCTAATGTGAAAAAGTAATTATAAAAAATGTGTGATAGTGACGATCCAGGTGATGGCCGATCTGGCATGGATTTGACTGGGTTTCTGTTTGGTAATATTGATGAACGAGGACAATTAGAAGACGATGGACTTCTCGATGGAGACTCGAAGAAAATGCTGTCGTCGCTCACTCGCTTTGGGTTTGGGTCGATGCTTTCGGAAGTTTTGGATCAAGAAGAAGTCAGCAAAGAAGATCAAGAAAAAGGTAAGACTCAGATAACTGCTGTAATTGCTTAACTTTGTCTTTGTTTACTAAGTAACTAGATATTTTTCTGAATCTATCTACTTTTATGTAAGTAAACTGATAAAAGTATAACAATAAACTAGGTAGCCAATGTTATTATAGTTTATATTTTATACATTTGAACACATTTTTAATGTGTTTGTTGTCAATATATCTATTTTAGTTAATGAAACGTCTCAATGAGACCTTGCCTATAATTTTAAGCACGTTCCAGCTTGTCTCACTTAGTATAAACTAAGTACTTAAAAATAGTTTTTAAAAATGTTACAGATTATACTCAGAAGAGTCCGTCAGCTGTAGACTTTTTTGATATTGACGATGCTGTTGATGATGTCAAGGTAAGATGAAAGTAATTTCTCATTAGATTTCACATTTTATCACCAATATATCATACGGGTTCTTTTTGTATAAATACTGTACTAGCATGCCCCTCAGACATGCTAAATAATGATTTGCTTCTGTGAATAAATTGAGAATAGGTCTTCTTCTTTCAAACAATTGTGAATCTTATCATTTGATCAAATTATGAGCACTTTAGTATGAATAGATTTGGTAAATTAATATAGGATGCTAAATGCACTTGTCACTAGCTGTAATTTCGTAGTGATTGTGCCTATACTCATTTTTAATTAGAACCTAAAGTCATTGCCAAGCCAAGTTTATGAAATACATTCTTTGTTAATGATTTTCATTGTCATGATGATTTATTCATAGAAGATTAGGAATAGTAATAAGAATAAAACCTTATGATTTTATTTGGCTATCTATCCTTCCACCATGTACTTTTTGCGAGGAAATGTGCTATTATAATTAATTATTACTATCCTTAATCTATTATGAAAACCATTGTTCATGTATTTAATTTTTTGCTTTGTGGCTTAAAACCTCTTTCTTCTCTACCTCTTCATCTGCAAACTAACATCAACATCTGCACTAAACTAGCACATACATCCTCTTAGTTCTAAGTACATCACAGTGAGACCATCACACTGATATATTTGTGTTAACATATATAGGAACTAGAGAGTAGTGCTAACAATGCACAGAAAGACACAACAAACACAGAGGCACAGGGAACAAAGGGTGATAAGCTCGAGTCCGTTGTTGATAGCAATTTTCCACAGAGTGAGGCTAAAGAAGATGGCAACTGGAAAGAGGATGATATCTTTCAGTCTGGTCAAGCAACCAATGATGAAGGGTACGAAGGTGATATGGAAGGGGATGGCGAACTCATGCCCCCTCCGTCTACTATACCGTGAGTACTATTTTAATGTTCTTTTTTTAAATTGCCTATGTTTCTTCATAGGTTGCACACAGTTATAGTTTTGTTGTACCAAGCAGCTAAACTTAAGTGCCCTTAATTTTTTTAGTAAGGGCTAATTAAACTGTGGACTGTAAATGTAAAGTAACTTAAATAATTTTACCACTATTCATTATGTAATTATTATATTAATGAAATATAATTTAATTATGGAAATATATTAATTGAATTATTTTAGCAATTCACAATCGCTTATTACAAACTCACACTATTATTGATGTTAAAATAAAATCTGTTCTCAGGTCACATAAATCATCTTCGGAAAGACCAAAAAGATTGGAAACACCATTAGCTGCTATGTTGCCTTCAAAATATGCTAATGTTGATGTGAGAGAGCTGTTTCCAGACTTTAGACCTGATAAAGTAAGTTTGGTTTAAGAATTATAAAGAGTAGAAAGTTACACTCCCTGAAGGAAATAAATTACTTTCTATTAGAAATAAACAAAGTAACCTAACTATGAATAGATTATTCATGGTTAGGTTACTTTCATTCATTATTTTGCTTAATACATAAGTGTTTGTGAACATTGAGATTATACCTACTTAATGTAGAAAGAATAGCGTTTTATAATAAGTGTTTGATGAAAAAAGTAAATAATCTTCCTTCTGCAGATTGTTGTTCTACCTATGTTAATTTAATTAGTTCTAGTTTTAATTTCTATATATTTTGACTGTATAAACACATAATTTTTAGAATGTTGGATAGCTTGTAACTGGCTAATGTATATGACCTACTGCCTATAACCAATACTTTAAACCATTTGTATACCTAAGCTGTGAGCGTACCTTATAATAAATAAATAAATAAATAGATTGCGGTAATAACAGTGTAATATCGAAACAATTTTCTTAACAAAAATAATTATGTCTAAATTATTTTACCTAGGTTTTATTATTCTCTCGCCTCTTTGGGCCGGGCAAGCTGTCGAGTTTGCCGCAAATATGGCGCGGAGTTAAGAAGCGTAGACGGCGCAAGCGCAGTGGCAGCACCAGTAGTGACACTCCACCAACACCTGTTGAAAATCAGGAAGTTCAATATGCTAGTGATGATGAAGACAAATTACTCAAGTAAGTACCAAATTAAAATTGATATTATTAGTAAAAGTAGATTCTTAAGTTGACTGTAAATATTTCAATGTAATATGTGCAACAGTTTAGAGTCAAAGTTAAAATCATTTATTTCAATTACAGGCCCTTTTGAACGTCAAACCAAATTTAAAGATATAAAGTGTCAGTCTGTTGGTCAGTCCTCTTCGTGAAGCTATTTGCTCGTTTCAAAGTATAGATTCTAATGGAGAAGAATGAGCTAGAAACTCCATGGTTACTCTTTACGTTTCAAATATTGTTATTTTAATCATACCTCCAGTGTTACAACTATACAGTATCAGCTTAATATCAACCATTTAATTTATACCAATTTAAAAACAAAAAAATATTGTAAAATCACAGGCCAATGGAAGAAAACCAGCAAACGAACACAGATAACAACTCAAACAATTCAAACGACAAGTCGCAAAGGCCGACTCCTGCGCATTGGCGGTTCGGGCCTGCGCAGATGTGGTACGACATGCTGAATGTGCCCGAAACTGGTGACGGATTTGACTATGGGTTTAAAATAAAGGTAATTATTAGATAATTTCACTTTTAATCACTAAAAGGGTAGGTCGTAATAAAATGACTTCCTTCAGTTATGCTCTGAATTTTATGTATATAGGGTTACCTACTGCCATACCCGGTGCATAATTCAAAACTCCTTGCTGGCCATGTTTTGGTAAAAATTACAATAAAGCATTGCCTAAACTTGTTGTATATTTTTTATATAAATATTGAAAATAAAATATTCATACCGTTTAGTAATAATAATTACCATTTTTCTAGGCACCATCACCAGAAAGAGAAGATAAACCGAAAGAAGTTGAGGAAGAAAAACCAGAAGAGAAAAAAGAAGCAGAGGATTCGGACAGTGGTTTTCCGGACGATGCATTTCTTATGGTGTCGCAGTTGCAGTGGGAGGATGACGTCATTTGGGATGGAAGCGAGATCAAGCATAAGGTGGGAGACATATTAAACATTAGGAATTTTAAAGGCAATTAATTGGGTGGTTTCATAGGTCAAAAGTATCACCTAGAAAAAAAAAAGTATTATGAGTAGAGGGGCAAGCTTTTAATCAGATTCGAATATGTTTTGCGTATTCTATCTGTCCTCCTAACGAGCTGCTAAGGGTCACCACAATGTTGTTTCCATTAACAGATTAATAAAATTTCGTACCAGTTGTTATGTGGTTGTACAGAAAATTTGTTTTTGTTGTTTATATAGAAACATTTATTTTGTTTAGGTGCTAGCTCGTCTGAACAGCAAGAGTAACGCGGCAGGCTGGGTACCGACGTCGGTGAGTAGGACTGCTCAGCAGTTCTCTCATCCGCGCCCGCAACCTCCTGCCCCGTTGCAGCCTAAACCACCCACGTAAGTGAACAATTATACATTTCATGTACCTGGTTACGGCACGTAAGTATTTGTAGACAAAAAGAAATAAAAATAAAGCTGTTTCTTAATCTCGTAAGAGTGCTTCTACACTACGTCCAATCCGAATCCGAAACAGGTCTAGTACCTGTAAAACTCAAATACGTCTAAGTATAACGAATTATATTTTCGCGTGTAGCTTTAGATTGGATCGGATACAAAAAAACACCATTAATTTATGTAATAATAGAAAAAAATCATATATTTCATTATACATACCTACATACATACACAGATGACAACATAAAATTGCCAAGTTAAAAAGAAATATATTCAACTTTAAAATTTTGCGTTGCATATTAATATTTTACTGTTTTACGACGAGCAAATAACAAATAAAAGGCACGTGCGCGTTAAATCCCGTAGTACAGTAAAGTATAAATATATTCAATCCAGTATTTAAAGAACAAGTTTCAATAATCATCATAGTAATTATACCTTTTTTCACAGAGCAACAGCAACGAGTAAAGACGCAACAGGCAACTCGGCAGACGGTGAAGACAACACGTGGTACAGTATCTTCCCCGTGGAGAATGAGGAGTTGGTATACGGCACATGGGAAGACGAAGTTATATGGGACGCTGAGAACATGCCTGTCGTACCGAAACCTAAGATTCTGACCTTGGATCCTAATGACGAGAACATTATTCTCGGAATACCTGATGATGTCGATCCTTCGAAGATTACAAGAGGTAAGGAGTAGTTTTTTGTTTTTGTTTTTTTATTCTAGGAAAGTGAGAGAATCGTTTGGATTAGGTTCTTGGTTATAAATTAGTAATTGTTTTATTTGTAGGACACCTAAAAAGTTTATCATCATCATCTTCCTGCCCTTGTCCTGTTTTATTTGGGGTCGGCGCAATATGTTTTTTTTCTTCCATTCTGTCCTGTCACCCGTCACGCTATCGCTAACTCCTCTGTCTTCCATATCACTTCTTACACAATCCATCCATATTTTCTTTGGTCTCCCTCTCCATCCATCCACACATACAAAAAAGCCATGAGTATATTTATACTCATATCTATACAACATGCGTTTCATCCCTCCTTTTCACATGGCCATATCAAGACAAACGGTTCCCTTTCAACTTTTCAGTCACTGGCGCCACTTTCAAACTTCCTCTAATATACTCATTTCTCACTTTATCCGTTCTCGTCACACCACACCGCCATCTCAGCATTCTCATCTCTGCTACATGCAATGGCAAGTTTATCAAACTTTGCAATGTTATGTTAAGAACAATTCTGCCAACCTAACCTAAAAATGGATAGAAGTTTTTGTTATGTAATAAATTGTTATCTACACTTTTGAGTTTTTGACTGCATGGTTGGTGCAGTGCAACGTGTCACGGGTTCGATTCTCGCACGGAACAACTCTTTGTGTGATCCACAAATTGCTGTTCCGGGTCTTGGTGTTATGTGTATGTGAAACTATGTTTGTAAACGCGCCCACGACACAGGAGAAAATCTTAGTGTGCGCCTATGTTTATGTATGTTATACCTAAGAATTGAGTAGTTTAATTGGTTTTGTACCATACTACTTATTCAAATAAATACATAAATAAATAAATATTTCTCTTCAATTGCTTCAGAGAGAGGTCCACAACCCAAAGTGAAGATCCCACACCCACACGTGAAGAAATCAAAGATCTTGCTGGGCAAGGCTGGAGTGATCAATGTATTACAAGAAGATGCCCCACCACCTCCACCAAAGTCACCCGATAGAGATCCTTTCAATATCTCTAATGATGTGTAAGTATTTGTTTTCTACTCAATCAATTAATCTGTTGTCTTTTGTCAGCGTATTTTTAGGCATAATATTTTTTTTATTCTCTTTTTGTGAACTTTAGTTTGAAATTGATACAGTGCATTCTTCTTTTTGTTCAATATCAAAAAAGTTAGGTCGCTAGGTATATTGGTTATTTGGTTTTTCTAGATATTTTATGTGGCATTATCATCTTGTTTCACAGCTAAACTCAAAGTCAAAATATTATTTTCAACTAAACCATAAACAGGTAGTTTTGAAACGTCAAATAGAATATAATCTGTCAGTCAGTTCGTCACTGAAACTAGGCGCTAATAAATGAATTGGAATAATTTGCAGGGATCCACTAGTTTTCAACACTAAGAATAAAGCTAGAAGAGGAACTTGAATATAGGAATGTTTTGTTACAATTTTTCTTTACTGTACCCACAGGTTTTACATGGCCAAATCTCAGAACCCGCGTCTCAAGGTGGGTGGCGGGCAATTGATTCAACACAGTACTCCTGTGGTTGAGCTCAGGGCCCCCTTTATACAGACCCACATGGGGCCGGCCCGCCTGCGTGCCTTCCACCGGCCTCCCATGAGGAAGCTCTCCTACGGGCCCTTGGCTGCTCCTGGGCCCCATCCTGTGCAGCCTCTGCTTAAACATATCAAGAAGAAGGCTAAGGTATGTAAAGAGTGATTTAATAAAGGCTTAGTGAATTAGCGATTTTCACTTATAGGTGCTGTTCACATGGAATCATCAACTATGAACAAAATTTCTTCACTTCATAGTATAACACAAAGTCACTTTCTCTTTCCCCATATCCCTATGATGCTTAAATCACTATGCAATAGAGCTGTATGCGGTTTATTTTTAATAGATAGAGTGATTGAAGAGGAAGTTTTGTATATGTATAATAACATCCATTACATAGTGCAGAAATTAAGTATCAGTACCGGACCGGGCGGGTACTTGTGGTGTAATAAAGCTTTATTTATCTTTTAACCAAATCATAGAATTCAATAGATATTACTACTGAGTACAAAGTGAGAGAGAAATAGTGTCACGAAACAAATAATCAGTTCTTCACTAAAAGTTACTATAAACATTAAAAATAACACACACAAAAATAAGCTTTAATACCATTGTCTACAGCAACGCGAAGCCGAGAGGTTAGCGTCAGGCGGTGGTGATGTTTTCTTTATGCGAACTCCAGAAGACCTCAGTGGAAGGGACGGTGAGCTTGTACTGGTAGAGTTCTGCGAAGAACATCCTCCTCTCATCAGCCAAGTCGGCATGTGTTCCAAGATCAAGAATTACTACAAACGTACTGCTGCTAAGGTATTTCCAAAACTAATAATATTTTTGTACTTTAAACTTTTTAAAATTGTCCTTTGTCTATTTATATGCATGTTTTTAAGCAAATTTGTCTTTTAATAGGGTTTAAAATACACTGAACTCAAGGCGAGTTCGAGGATGTTTAAAAAGCAGTGTAAAAATAAAAATATTACGAGTTACCTTTATGTAGACCTATAAGATTTTGACAGGGTTTCTACAGAATGTCTGAGAATGTATTGGGCACCTATATTCTTGGAAACAGAAATGGTTCGTGTGGTTTTACCAAGTGTGTATACCAAAGGAATCAAGGAGAGATTACGATGTGTGTTGTCAGCGCTTAGGCATCCTATCCATCCATCCTATTTACATAATTAATTTGGAAGTGTCAGTTTTACCAATATAGTATTTTACCTTGAAATCCAACATTTGGACAGAAATACCCCCTCAATATACAAACAAGGTAGAATAATAAAAAATGTGTATTTTTATTTTCATTGCCAAAGGGGGCCAAAAGGGCTGGTGCCAATTCGAAGGTAGGCCACGTTTGAACGTTCTAAAACAATTTTTCATTATGATTTTCGCTTGGGTATTTTTTATATGTGTAATTAGTACTATCCCTTGTCTTTTCTGTGTATTTTACAGGTTCACACATTGACTAAATTTACAGGTATCTTGTTAAAAAGCTGCTTCTTCGATGTTTTCTTTTTATTTGAGTATTTCTATTATTTATTGTTTATATGTTTGTGTTAAATCGTATCAACACAACTCTTTTTAATATATTAAAATATAATGTGTTTTATAGGATGAAGGTCCAAAACCATTGAAGTATGGTGAAGTCGCCTACGCTCATACGTCGCCTTTCCTCGGGATCTTGCCGCCGGGCGCGACGCAACCTGTGGTGGAAAATAATATGTATAGAGCTCCAATTTACGAACATACTTTGCATCCTACTGACTTCTTAATTATAAGGACTAGGTAAGTCATTCTTTATTTTATACCAGTACTTTTACCTGCGATTTTGCTCTTGATGAATGATCTTACTATATATCCATTACCGGATCCTCAATTGAATGTAATTATGTATACAACATTTTAAGCAAATTGAGTAATGTGTAAAGCGATGGGACTTATATCTTTTCTATGGGAAATCCAATCATCTTGTACATACTATTGCTATTTTGTTGCTAAATGTCTACCACTAACTTCGTAATGACCACATTACCAAATACTTTTTTAGTATAATAATAAGAAAATTTAGTCTTAATCGATTGTACAATAAAATTACTGATTTCACACAACATTTCCAGACAATCTTACTACATCCGTGAAGTGGATGCGTTGTTCGTTGCTGGACAACAGTGCCCTCTGTACGAAGTGCCCGGCCCTAACTCCAAGAGGGCCAACAATTTTGTACGAGACTTCTTGCAGGTCAGTTGGCATCTGTTTTAATTATTGATTATTATTTACAGCTTACTCTCGAAACTGTTTTACGGTTTATCCTGACTAGTTTCGAGTTACGCTTGGGAGTCATAGCTATGGCGCTGTGATCATTGCGCAACCACCATGTTTTAGAAACGACTTACAATATATGTATTATAAGATAATGGCATTTTTTTCAAGCGCTTATTTACTCTGTATTGTTTGTTCAGGTCTTTATATACCGATTATTCTGGAAATCTCGCGACAAGCCGCGTCGTATCAAGATGGATGACATTAAAAGAGCTTTCCCATCACATTCTGAGAGCTCCATTCGTAAACGTCTCAAGTTGTGCGCAGATTTCAAACGTACCGGATTGGATTCTAATTGGTAAGATTGTTTTAGCAACAAATTTTTTGTTTATTGTTTAGTTGATGATTATAAATAAATAATTTTAAGTTATACCTATTCATACTAAAACATTTTTTGTGATAAAGGGAATACAGTATTTATTTACTTAATTTTTGTTCCGTTTTACATGACTGCCCATAAATTTCAAGGCCAAAAGACATCCACTTCTAAACGAAGACCCTTCTCTTGGTTATTTATCTCAGTACTAATCGAACTCTTTGGTAAAGGTGGGTGATTAAGCCAGATTTTCGTCTGCCGTCTGAAGAAGAAATCCGCGCAATGGTGTCCCCGGAGCAATGCTGTGCGTACTTCAGTATGGCGGCCGCGGAACAGAGGCTCAAAGACGCTGGCTACGGAGAGAAGTTTATATTCACTCCCCAGGAAGATGATGATGAAGAAATGCAGTTGAAGATGGATGATGAGGTACCGTATTATCTTTCTGAGTCATCTAATATCACAGTAAAGTTATTGACTGTTCTTAACTTACTATTTTTATTATTAAATATTGTGGCCACCATAATCACTTCCCGCCGCAGATGTTTCGTTTTTTCTGTGTGAAACTCAATCACTACTCAATACATTGTTACTAAATGCTCTTGAGGTAGGTTTAAGCGAGTGGTAAACTCAACTGGGCCTATAGGGCTGATGTTTAGCCAGGATTGTGGGGTAAGCGTTAGTAGTAAGCTTCCTGCTCTAGCAAGAAAAGGAACGGGTTGGTTTTTAGTCAGTAACAGTCTGACACTTCCTCTTGCCTCAACCTGGGCAGGAGAAGTCATTTTTGATTTTCCCCGAATACTACAAAAAAAAAAACGTGTACTTACATCAAAGGTTGTGTACTTTTTCTAGTTGGTACACTTTTAGCCGAAGGGTCATCTCATGTAAGATGTGGTGGCAAGCTTTACAATACGTCGCCACCTCTCGCGCACAGCGCCATGGATCGTACAATATTTAGCACATATACCACAACGCAATATGTTTTTCAGGTTAAAGTAGCGCCATGGAACACGACGCGCGCCTACATCCAAGCGATGCGTGGCAAATGTTTGCTCCAACTGACTGGGCCGGCTGACCCAACAGGCTGTGGAGAAGGGTTCTCCTACGTACGCGTCCCCAATAAGCCAACACAACAGCCCAATGAGGAACAACAACCCAAGCGAACTGTCACCGGTACTGACGCCGATTTGAGAAGACTGAGTTTGAATAATGCTAAAGCATTGCTAAGGAAGTTCGGAGTACCTGAAGAAGAGGTATGGTTTTTTGAAAGATTAATAATAGAAATATTACAGAGTAAGTTTAAAAAACAAATAAAATAAAATAAATTAAGTGAAAATTACAAAAAAAAAAAATTGGATCACACTTTATACAGCTGGCTCATTTGTTTTAGTAATAATGTACTGATAATGAATGCAACTCATTAGTTATGATGCGATTTATTTAGGAGTCTTGTCATAAATGTACATACATACGTAAATTAAAAAGCTTTTAGAAATGGTACAATGTTTGAAATGTTTGTCTTGTTTTATTTCGCCTACTGAATCTAATTTAGAGAATTTAAAATACATTTAAAATCCATGACATTGGTATTTAATTGGGTAATATATTTGCAGATCAAAAAATTGTCTAGGTGGGAAGTTATTGACGTGGTGAGAACATTATCGACTGAGAAAGCTAAGGCTGGCGAAGAAGGTATGACTAAATTCTCCAGAGGAAACAGATTCTCCATTGCAGAACATCAAGAAAGGTAAAGAAAATAAGTTTTTAATTCATTTGAGTCTAGTAACTAAAGCTATAAATATACACATATCTTTGAAAAATGTATTGTCTTTTGGCTGTCTTGTCACCTTATATCTCTGATTATGGTGATAGGTAGACCATTAATACACTATTTTCGCTTTTAAATTCTAAACTATAGAGTTGACAATAGTATACCAAAAGTGCCATATATTTGAAATACCGAATTTCTACAGATACAAAGAAGAATGCCAGCGTATATTTGAACTTCAGAACCGTGTATTAACAAGCACAGAAGTGCTAAGTACGGACGAAGCAGAAAGTTCTGTCAGTGAAGAATCAGATTTAGAAGAAATGGGTAAGAACTTGGAGAATATGCTCGCTAACAAGAAGACTACGGAACAAGTAAGTTTTTAATTTTATATGAGTATTGAAATTAATTATTAATTTAGAATTCAGAATATTAATTACTACTACCTACTCACGTAAGACTATTCGACGAGATTGGCCGAATAGTTTCAAGCCACGATAAGAGCCCATAAACATATTATAGTTATTTTTTATGGGATAAGTCGGCAAACGAGCAGACGGATTACTTGATGGTAAGCAATCGGCGCCACTCTAGACACCCATTACGAGTTCGTTGCCGGCCTTTTAGGCAAAAGAGAAAAGAATTAAAGATTGGGAAGGGATGGGGAAGGGGAAGAGATTAGGCCAGAGATTACATCCTCGGTAACCTCACTCACACGGCGAAAAATAACGCTGGGATTGTTTCACGCTGGATTTTTGTGTGGCCTTGGTATCACTCTGGCGGAGCAATTTTTTGCCGAAACTTGGCTCTCCAACACTTAACAACAGATGCTCAAAGTACACTACACGTTTTCTTTAAAATCCATAGCTATTGTAACTAGAGTATAAATGGGATTATCTGTGTTTTTCTAGCTTTCATTAGAAAGGGAGGAAGCAGAGAGAGCTGAATTACGGAAAATGATTCTTGGCCAGTCTGAAAAGAAGCCTCAGATTAATCAAAGCGATCAACAACAGTCATCGAGTCAAGGTAAATATGTTTATACCGTTTCTATAAACGTTAAATTAAAGAAAATTGATATTGTTCTTTCTCATCACAATCAGCATTTTGACACTTTCTTTAGTCAATTGTAACAGATTCACTCGTTAGATTTACAGACGTTTTCTATCTTACTTAAAATAAGTGACTGGTTGGTGCGGTGCCTGAGCTACTGGCTACCGCGCAATGGCTTGGGGGTTCGATTGTCGCATGGACCAACTCTGTGATTTACAAATTGTTGTTCTGTGTTTAGATGTGATGTATGAGTGAAATTGTACGTTTGTAAACGCAATCGTAAAAATGTGAATATCTGATCAATATTCTGTAACCAAACCACACCTTTCAAACCATAGATAATATATTCTGTCTTATCTCAAAAAAAACATTTTCAATTCTTATTTGTTTACAATTATTTTCAATTCGTATTAAAACAAAAGTACGTTGTTCTACACTAGAATTTTCTCCTGTGTCGTGGTGCGTTTACAACTATTCGAATTCACATACACATCACACCCAGACCGGGAACAACAATTAGAGGATCACACAAAGAGTTGTTCCGCGCGGGAATCGAATCCGCGACACCTTGCACGCCAACCGTTCAGTCAATTGTCTCCTAGACCATAGCATTAATAAAAAAAAATCTCTTTTTTAGCTGGTCGTGTACTCCGCATAGTCCGTACATTCCGCAATGCGTCAGGACAAAGGTACACGCGCGTGGAACTAGTTCGCAAGGCTGCCGTCATTGAAGCGTATATGAAGATACGTTCCACCAAAGACGACGCGTTCATACGTCAGTTTGCAACTATGGACGAATCCCAAAAAGAAGAAATGAAGAGAGAAAAGAGAAGAATTCAGGTATCTTTTTTGTTCTATAGTTTATTGATCGTAGTTATAATTATAATTGTGTCGCAATTCGGTAGTTCCGAACTAGTAAAATTCAATACTTTTATACAAAGTTCAAAAACTGTACCTTTTTTTTAATTTGTACGAACGTCATACAGCATACTTATTTTTAAAAAGTTAACTACAAAAAATCTAAAATATATCGTCAAATCAATGAATAACCATACAATGATAAAGTCAAAAGTTGAAATAATGTATATTTGAGCTAGAAAACTACGCGAATTATGAAAGGGTTTATTGCTTCTGTAAATATTGATTTATTAGGAACATTTTTAAAATAAATCTATTAATTTATACAGGAACAACTTAGGCGTATCAAGAGGAATCAAGAACGAGAACGACTCGCTGGAAATGTAACCGTTCCAGGGCCGTTCCCAGACAGTAAGTTTTTGTATTGTATTCAACTTTCTTCTTACTAGCACTTTCACCCGCTGCTCAGCTCCTATAGTTCATAGCGTCATGTTTTATAGCCTATAAGCCTTCCTTGATAAATCGACTAACACAAAAAGAACTGTTTAATTCAAACCAGTAGTTCCTGGGGATTAACGTGTTCAAACAAACAAACTAAGAAGCTTTATAATACTTATTAGTATAGATAAGTGCATTTTGTATCCACCAAAAAGTCCATTAAATAAAAAAGAAAGAAGTCTTGTTTTCGATTTATTTCCCTCACTTACATCCATATATTTGTAACAGATTCCATGCTCTCGTCATCAATGGATATGAATTCACCGTCGCCTTTGATTCCACTGGGACAAATCAAGCAAGAACCAGATGTCCATACGCCATCATCATCTTCTTCGCGGCGTCGTGCAAAGTTGAAACCGGACCTCAAGTTAAAGGTAACTTATAACGGGATCCATTCAGTTGCCATGCGCAACTTTGCGCAATCGTCAAGATCGTTTGCGCAACGATGTGTCTGTGCTGACTTCTGTTCGCGTTACTTTGACTCTCGGGCGTAACTTTTATCCATACCCCATAAACCAATAATAACCTAAAACCAAACGTAAAATCGTTTTTCATCATAGTGTTTGGATCAATGTTACCCCCTAGGGAAATGAACTAATTACAAAAAGTAATAGGTATATTTTTTTTATCATGTGTATATTTGAATTTACTTTCGCGTTCCGCATCTACTCATTACCTTTATTGCTCACCACAATTATTGTGTGCAAAGCAAGCAAGCAAAATAAAGAGAAACAATTATGGACCCTATCGACCAGCAAGATAAGTTTTATAGAAGCGGATGAAGATCCCTTTTGAAACATATAGGTATTATTCCGTGTAGATTTATTTTAATTTTATTTATTTATTCCCTTAGTGCGGTGCATGCGGTCAAGTGGGTCATATGCGTACAAACAAGGCGTGCCCCTTATATACGGGATCCATGGGAGGACCCGTGTCACCGCCCGAGGCTGACGTGGAACCTCCGCCTTTGGAACCCGACGACGATGATATGGGATACGTTGACGGCACCAAATTGACACTGCCAACTAAAATTATTAAGGTAAGTTAGTGATATCATACTAAACTATATTAATGACAATTTTAAGAAAAACTTAGGTTCTAGGGTTATATTAGTAAACTACACATGTAACTCCTTGAAACCATTCAGTTTAAAAGTGGTTAAATAAACTGATCACTAAATAATGATTGGGGTCAAGAACATTTAAGGTACAAATATTATCTGTTGTAAGAATAATATTTTAATGATGTTATAAAGCTGTCTACAAGAAATATTTTTTTTTTGTTAGCATTAAAACAAGTAAGTACTAAAAAAACTGAACACGCTATATCAATACGCGACGCTAACATGAAATAAATTCCCCAGCAATCAGCAGAAGAGTTGAAGCGTCGTGGGTCGGGGCGGCGTTCAGGGGGCGCTGGTGGCAGTGGCGGGGCGGAGGGTCGCGGGGCGGGGCGGCGGGCGCGGCGCGGGGCTGCGGGCGAGGCCTGCGACTACCTGGTGCGGCGCCCCGCCGAGCGACGCCGCACGGACCCACTCGTCACGCTGTCTTCACTGCTCGAGGATGTACTCAACCACATGCGACATCTGCCCGATGTGCAGCCCTTCTTGTTCCCTGTTAATCCTAAGGTATGTTGAAAATTATAGTTTGTACCTTACTATAAAGGCTCTGTGAGTAAACTCTGTTACATGAAATAAATTAGCGACTGACGTGCCTTGATTGATGAGCACTAACTTTCGTAATAAATGTATTAATAAAGGAATGTCGTCGTAGGAGTGGTTTATGTATACACTGTATAAATGCAATATTATGTGTCTATTATTATGTACATAAATACATATCGGAAACCATTATAGAAACTCAGTATTTTAAATGAAAGTGAATACTTGTTACGATACTTACTTATGATATTCATTTCTAAAACGTTATTAAAAGTGAAATTATTTTTTATGGTTTTAAATTCCGCTAAAACATTTGGAAAAATTATTTGATTTGTTTTTTTGTCTTTATCTTTACACTGTCTAAAACATAAAAACTATTTGGTACAAACGCACAATGAAATATGTATTATTTTTTTTTCTATTCCAACAGCTGGTAGCAGATTACTATCGGATAGTATCTCGCCCGATGGACCTACAAACTATCAGAGATAATTTAAGACAAAAACACTATCAAAGCAGAGAGGAATTCCTGGCTGATGTCAACCAGATAGTCGAGAACTCGACTCTTTACAACGGTACTAACGGTATTCTAGAGTGGATTGTTTTTTTTATTATTTTATTTTATTTTTAATTTTACCCCTAAAGGTACATTTTTATTTTTAATATTATTAGCTACTTTCTATGTAGTTAAAATTGAAAAGTAATTGTACTTGCATGAGCATGCATTTAGTTTAGATATTTGATGTTGATTTTTAGTTTTATTTTTTAGTAGGTAGATTTCGTTCTTTGCATGGTTGTCTAGTTTCTTATAAGATGAGATGTTAGGTTAAATTCCTGGCTCTAGCAACGTATATATGATTTTTTAAGGTATTATAGTTTACAGTTATAAAGTGTAGAGTTTAGAACCAAGTCACATACAACTCATTGTGCATGTATTCATGCAAATTGGGTAGAATGGTTCCCTCTAAACATCTACATGTTTTCCGAACATTATTTTGATGTTATGTCCTTATATTCTTACTAAGATCTAACAAGATTTTTTGGACTCATGCCTGTTAATGCATTATGTCATGGAAGTTGCAAATTTTCTCTTAGTAATTTAAATACTCACCAGCAACTACCTACGACATAATCTAAGTCACCAAATGACTTGTCTTGCCCCGGATTAAGTGAGCAGTATTATCAGATTTTTTGAATAAAAACCACTTCATTTCTCGCCCTGGTCCAGACTGGGGTTGCGTTCCATTATTCCCTGTATATCCACTACTCCGGCTGTATGCACGAAGCCTATATATTAACAAAGCGCATATTTATTAAACGATGATTCCTTAAAAAATATCATTACTGTCTCTAAGGACCGACAAGCAGTCTGACGGTAGCCGCGCAACGGATGTTGCAGCGATGCGTCGAGAAGTTAGCCGAGAAAGAAGAACAGTTGATGAAATTGGAGAAACAAATCAATCCTTTGCTTGATGATAATGATCAGGTAATTCATGTTATTGTGTTTTCTGTTACCTACGTTGTGTAATTTAGTTTGTAGAAACAAGTGGTCTCGAGTTTTCCCGGTCGAGTAAAGTATATTGGCAATATCAACTATTAGATTATCAACCTACTCTAAAAAAGAGTGTCAATTTTTTCCGTAATTCCGATTCACCTGATAGTAAGAAATTGGCTGTCCTGATAGTAAATCACAGTTTGAGGATAAGGGGGATTTAATTTTTCCTCGTTCCAAAAGCCGCTTTGAATTCCATGGGTAACTTATACCTTTATATAAAATATATCCATACGTAGGTTATACTTATATCAGGTATTTAATTACTTCAACCTAATGCTAATATAATTATCTCGCAGGTGGCGTTATCATTTATATTAGAAAACTTATTGACAACTAAATTGAAAATAATGCCTGAGGCGTGGCCATTCCTGAAGCCGGTCAACAAGAAACAAGTGAAGGATTACTACAACGTTATCAAGAAACCCATTGACTTGGAGACCATGGGCAAGAAGATACAAGGTGTGTACATAAATCCTACTAATCCCAATAATCCTACTATTCTACTATCCTTCTATCCTACTAATCCTACTATCCTACTAATCCTACCACGTAAAAACTACTGAACGGTTCTGAATTAAAATTAGGCGAAGATATAGAGAGTCTGATATACTACAAAGGCAAGGCTTTTTACCCTGGCTTTGGGTATACCCAATACTACTTGTAGTATATGAATTAAATATTTTTGTAATTCGTCCCCAAAAGAACAATCAACTATATAGATTGTTAATCGTTCGACATCCTTTCAAATTTTAAATAGTAGTTCAAAACAAATGATCACGTCGACCAGTCTTCCAGTTTCCTAACTCTTGAACTAATTACTGATTTTTTTGATCGCAGCTCACAAGTACCACAGTCGCAACGACTTTTTGCGCGACATTCAGTTGCTGGTAGACAACTGTCGCGCGTACAATGGACCAAACTCACAGTTCACGCGGCAGGCCGAAATCATACTCAAGGTCACACAGGAAGCTCTCGATCAGGTAAGACAATTCTCTTTTTATATTTTTGTATAAAATTACTATTGATGGACTCTTAAAGGGGCGTGATGACTACATACATACACATAATCCTTTCTAATCAATTATTTATCTTTATTTTCCGATTTAGTTTTGTTCATACAACTAATAAAAATTTTAAAATTCATCTTTGATATTGTAGTATACTTGTTATAATACATAATTATAATGTATTGCTGATACTGCACGGTAGGTGCGGTGGCTGGGCAACTGGCTGCCGTGCAACATGTCGCGGGTTCGATTCCCGCACGGAAAAATTCTTTGTGTGATTCACAAATTGTTGTTCCGGGTCTGGGTGTCATATGCATGTGAAATTGTATGTTTGTAACTCGACCACGACACAGGAGGAAATCCTAATGTGGGGCAACGTTTAAAATAAAAAAATATATAATAATAATAGTAAATTATGGTACAAGCGTGTAAAATTGGTGATATCGCCGTAAGGCGAGGGTCTTATGGAGCCGGAAGACGGAACGATATTTAAAAAAGTCACAGTTTGACTAAAGGTGTCATTACGTGCCTAATTGCCGTGAGATTAGAGTGTGTTGAAAATAGTATATGCATAGTACCTATTTTCCATAACTAAATCATTTAAAGTACCTATCGTATATGCTACGTATTCTTTTATTACTTACCATCTATATCATAAAAGGCCTTCATCTGTTCTAATTTTTAGCTTGCAGGGTCCATAAATGTGACAATGTTATATTTCTTTTTCTACCTTATGTACCTTATAGAATGCATTAAACGATATGAATATGAATAGGTATGGAAAAAATAAAACTCAAAAAAATACTAAATGAACTTTATTAAGATAAGTTTAATCCATCTTTCTTAGTTTGGCGAGCACGTAAGTCAACTAGAAGCGAACATATCCCGCGTGCAACAAAAGATGTTAGAAGAGGCAGATCACTCTGATTTGGACGTGGAGGACCCCGTCCCTCCGCCGTCCGATGAGAAACGAGGTCGTGGACGACCCAGAAAACATAAACCTTCCACTTCTACTTCTGCGGCTGATGGTAAGAACTGTTAATTTGTGGTTTTATACCTGAAATGGAAATTATTGTCTTAATCCAATTGCTTAAGGTTGAAAATTATTTTTTGAAAATGAATTATAGTTGAGCATTTCACCAAATATAAAAAATTTGATTGTCTTTTTTTTGTCAGGGGAAAATCAAAAATCAAATAACTTCTCCCTTCCAGGATAAGGCACGGAAAAGCGTCAGACTCTTACTATCTAAAAACCCCTCGTTCCTTCGCTTGCTTGTGCTCTAGGCCGAGGCCGCGGTGCCACATTGCGCTTAACCCGCAACCCCGACTGAACATCAGCCCCGTCTGTGGTGGTCTATTGGCTCTTTGGGACACGATAGAGATTGTCTGGAAAATCAAAATTGTTTATTGTTATTAAAACATAATTAAACTTGACAGGTGCAACACCAAGGAAGCGAGGAAGGCCGAGGAAGGACCAGAACTCTTTGGAGGAAGGTATGTGTACCCTTTAAACTAAGTATTTTAAGAGACCAGTCACTTTAGCCTCACTTATTTCGTTTAAAAAAAATATTACTGATTCGATACGTTATTAGAAAAGAAATACATAATATTAGAAGGACATATATGTATTCAATTTGCTAATTTGACAAGGTTCTAAGTGTGTTTCTATTGTTTTTTATTCAGATCTCCAGTACAGTGACAGTGGCAGTTCAGAGCTGGAAGAAGTTGAGCAGAAAGTGGCTGCGGAGGCTATGGTACAGCTCGCTGTCCGACCACCTTACCAGGGTGAGTAGAACTCGTAAAATAAAGTTTTTAAATAGTCTGATTTTTAAATAGTCAGATGAATGTTATCTGAGGAATAAATTGTTGCTGTCACTGTTTTATGCAAACATTCCGACTCGACAGCATCATAATTATTCCCCATATAACTTTTAACAAACCATTGAAAAATCAGCCCTAAAAGATTAATTTGCCTAAAAAAGGCCATTAGCGTTTTTTTTTTCAAATTCGTCTAGTTGTATTTTTAATTAATTTAATTATTTATTTAAAAATCTCTTATACTATCATTACAGATTTCTCCAATGCGATAGCTTAGGCCTATAACTAAATCTAAGTACTTATTTACTAATTAAAACCAACATAACAAAATCAAAAAGAAATCATACAACACCTTAATTATGAACTAAACTAAATAATTAAAAACATACTAAAGAAAAAACAATACCTATCTTCTTAAACTAAAAATGCACATACCCACCTATAACACAACTTACTTAATCAAAGAGTATGTAATTACTTAATCATTAAAAAACCTAACATAAATATATAAAAGTAAATGAGGATAATACTGTCGACACTATAGTCACGAGATCATTTGATTGACACATAGTTTTACTTTTTAATAGAATTAAACAGTTCCGGTTTTGTATTGTTCTGAAATATCGTTTGACGTCACGATTTTGTACATCAAATACTGAGTTAATTGTATATGTGTCATGCACGTGAATATATTTCCTTTTTTTTTTCGTTATATATCGATATGAAGAAAAAAAATATTGTTTTCTTAACTGGCGAACTGTTTAAATTTATATTTTCACAGCCTCTCATTATCTCTACTCATTAAAATAACTATTATAATTGGACTCTTACAGAAAATTTCTAACAATATAAACTATTAATTGCAGACGATGACCCGCCTTTAGGCGAGCCCAGCTTCGACACATCAGAGTTCCTAATAAAGCGCGAAGTACCGGACGAGCCGCCGCAGCCTTCCGACGATTTCGTGGACCTAGACCAGCATAGCACTGACTACTCGTTCCCGCCAGTTGTCAAGGTAAGAAAGATTTTATGTTTTCTAGATTACCAGGGGTCCTTTTCCATCACACAACCCAAAATTCCTAATTATTTATAAATATTTCCTAATACACAAACGGTCGGCAACGCACTCGTAACTCCTCCTTGTCAACAACCAGATGACCAGTATACTCTTTTGCTGACTTATTCCATAAAGGAAAATATTTTGCTATATTTATATTCTCAGTAAGGGACAGTAGCGGATTGCTACTATTATCGTAAACGCAGCTGAAACAGTGCGCGGTTCGGATGAAGAATACATTTTTTGCACCTTAGTTAATAGTTGTAATGAAACAATGAATTTATTTTTGCAAATAGGCCATAAAACGGCACTTTTACACGTCAATTGTAATTGCGAACACTCTATGAATGTTGCCACTAACACATATGTAATATTTGAAATTATTCAATGTGTTATTCATAGGAGGAACCAATGGAACCAGATATGGGCATGGATCAGCAGATGATGGGAGGCACAGGGCTGGAACCACCTCCGCAATTCAAGGAAGAACCGCCAGAAAACTGGCAGGTAAGTTGTAGCTTCAATAATTTTATCCTGCCAAAACTAATTAATGTTTAGATACAAATACATTTTAAACCTTATCTTACATGACGTAATGCTGCAATTTGGTTATGCTATTGTGTGTTCTTGTTGATTATGGTTTGATTGAGTTTTGTTAGTACCTACACTGTTCGTATTTGAAAAAGGAACAATATAATACCTCTGTGCTTTCCTTCATTACCGTAATAAACATGAATTCGACCAGATTGATACCACCGATTTACAGGAAACTGGCGTAATACTACGCTCTCGTCGTGTAACGCCATTTCCGCTTTCTCCTCTTCATATCACTAAATCTCTAATCCTCAAATCTGTAACTCCCTAAAGATCGGCAACGCGGATGTTCATGGGCGGCGCCGATTGATTACCATCAAAAGCTTTGTTTGCGTGTTCACGAGCACTTTAAAAAAATATTAATTTATGTTTTACTCACGTAATTGTTTGACGAAATACTCGACTAGTTTCAAGCCATGCTAGAGGCCCATATTCATGAGCAGCATTCCGCGACACGCGACTGTAGTATGTTGTTTCGTTAGTATGTCTAACGAAAGTTATACTTGATAAACAAAACATATATATTCACTATTTTTTATTCAACATTACTTTTTGTCTTTGTTACAGCCCGACCCCGCTATTCAAGACGATCTTCAAGTAACGGACAGTGAGGAAGAACCAGAAGATGGGCTGTGGTTTTAAACTAAATAATTTATTTGTCTATGGTCTGATTTTTCAATGGTTAGACAAAGTTACCTGGGGAATAATTATGATGCTGTCGCGTCAGAATGTTTGTACAAGGCAGTGATGGCAACAATTTTATTCCTCAGATAGCATTTATCTGACTATTAAAAGATTGGTGCTTAAGTAAATTTGCAATAAATATTGGGATGTTATACTGCAACTTTTTAACAGACTGCGGAATATAGGGTGTTAAAAATTACTTATGTACAGGTGGCTACAAGTCAAGCTGTACGATATTCTTACCATTGAGTGTACGGTTGGCGCTTTGGCTGACCATCGGCTGCCGTGCAATGTGTAGCGAGCTCGATTACCACGCGAAACCACTTAAGTAATCCGCACATTGTTGTTTCTTGTATGTAAAATTGTATGTTTGTAAACGCACGTAAGAACTAGCGTTACAAAAAACAGCGTCTTGCTTTGTACGGTCTTACCAAACATTCAAGGGTCTGTTTATACTGGTTTTCGATAGCTTGTATTTGGGTGCTAACTCGAGATTTTAAACTGACATGTTTTTATTAGACACTGAACAATTTCTTCCTTAAAAAATAATAAAAATCTTTTCCGTTATATCAACCATCTATAATTTAGTACCGGGCTAACCGCGTGAAGTTATAGAAGATATCTTTTGTTGTTCCGGGTCTTGGTGTCATGTGCATACCTATGTAAATGTATGTTTGTAAACGCAACCACGTCACAGGAGAAAATCCTAGTGTAAGGCAACGTTTAAAAAAATATATATGCCTCGTGATGAACTTCAAAATGACTATAATTGTTGTATTATTTTTCTTCTACATATTTTTAACACCCAATAGTTTATATGGACAAATATTTGTTATGAACTAATAGCGAGTAAGATAAATAAACATTATCATGATTAAGTTTAATAAAAATTGTTATATCAAATATTTTTTGTATAGGAATAAATAATTTTAAAGTGTATATACGCATTTTTATTTTGCTATAATACTTTCTACTACAGACGACCATCCACGTTATCATTTGAATTCTTAACCCTTGCCTCTTAATACAAACTTATCTTGAGTATAAATTCGGTATCAGTTGAAAATTCTGTGCCCATATATAATTTATACAAAAGACAAAATAATTTATTCCAAACTAGCTACTCCCGCGCAGTTTCACTCGCTGCTCGGCTCCATTTGATTTTAGCGTAATGTTTTATAGCCTATAGCACTTGGAAACATTGTAGCTATCTATCAGTAAAAGAACCTTAGGAATCCGACCAGTGGTTCCAAAGATTACCCCCTACATACAAACTTACAATACCTCTATAATATTAGTATAGATAAACTATAATTAATCATAATCAATCAGCGCGCGATAATGCAGCGGGCTAACTGAACGAAGCAAGTAACTTGAAACCTTATAATAGAAGCAAATCATTAAAATACAGCTGAATAGTAATTTTATTCGAAAAAGGATATAAAAAAACATGAAATAAAATATGTCCTACCAGCTTTTGCCCGCAACTCCGTTCGCGTGGAATAGTGACTTCCTGCAGATTTTTGGTATAAAAACTTTCCTGAGTTCCAAACTATGTCTGTACCAAATATCACAGAAATGGGTTCAGTAGTTTAGGCGTGAAGAAAAGACAGACAGAGTTACTTTCGCATTTATAATAAGTATTAGTTTGGATAAATAGACATAAGACGCCCACTTCACAACTCAGAAATAGGTATAGAATAGTAGATACTAATTTATTGTCCATTCAAAAACAACCTTTATCTATAGCACTAGCGGCTTAGAATGCTCAGCTACGCAAAAAAGCGCAATGAGGCACCGCGACCTCGGCCTAGAGCAGGAGTACGAACAGGGGGGTTTTAAGGTACGCAAATAATGGCGGTGCGACTGCACGGTTGGTGCGGTGGCTGTGGCTGGGCAACTGGCTGCCATGCAACGTGTCGTGAGTTTTGTTGTAACTCTTTGTGTGATCCACAAATCGTTCTGCGTCTGGGTGTCATATACATAAGGTATGAGAAATTGTATGTTTGTAACCGCACCCACGACACAGGAGAAAATCCTAGCGTGTGTCAACGTTTTTGATTTGGATAGGTGTGGCCTTTCTTGAGTAGGTAAGTATAACCCTACTCTTAGGTAGAAGAGTAGGTATACTCTTAAAATATTATTTAGGTAGAAACTTCGAAAAGTGGCATTTATTTTTATATAAATACAAATAGCTACCTACTTACAGAATATGCATAAAAATCGCTGTTAAATCAATTTTGTATAAATGTTTTTTTGACCAAAACCAACATGAAAACAATGACAAAGCTTGGTACGAAAAAAGACTTTCAAAACAGTAAAATTCTCTTGGCATATCTGTGGTTGTTCACATTCCAATGATCCGAGTCGGACCGGGTTGCGATAGATTGCATTGCCGACGTAGGCATTTTAATAGCGGCGCGACGAGGATGCATCGAGTTCCAGACTTTCATTGTTCACTTCCGAGTTTCCGAGGCTCGGACCAACGCTCGAGTTTCATGCGGATTACATAAACTTGTTAGCTTGTGGTGCTATAGACGTTTACTAGAGATAAAATCGATGTATAATAGCCAGCTGCATCCTCCCAATATTGCTGCAACTCCCATAAGCTAGGATCTACAGTAGATACAACAATGAAAACACTTAATTGTAAGCCTTCATAAGCTTATCAAGGACTAGGAGAAATTGATCTGCCTGTAAAGATTACAAAATGAATAATAATAGAAATGTAGATATTTTTGACAGTTTCTTGCTCTTGATCTCGATGTTGTTGTGATGTTGTTGAAAAGTTAGTTCTTAAATTTAAAAACACATAGATCTCCTTAAATTTAAACTTACAATCCCCAACATAGGTAGTATTCTGATTGATTCAATTATATAAGAATAAGACACCGAAGGACTGTGTCCATGTTATTCTAGTCCAAAAGAGCTACAAATTTTGATGGATAGCTGATGAATGATGACTAGCCGTCATCATTACCAGCATAAGTTGCCTATAAGTGTCCACTGCTGAGCTAAGGCTTCTTTTTATACGGAGAAGGATTGAGTATTACCTAATAACAATGCTTCGCTCGTCAATGGTGTCTAAGTAAATAAGTATGGTGTCTAAGTAAGTAAATAAAGTAGTTTAAGTGTGGGAGAGCCATGCTTCGGCACGAATGGGTCGGCTCGACCGGAGTGATACCACGGCCTCATAGAAAACCGGCGTGAAATAACCACTGCGTTGTGTTTCGCCAATGTCACGAGTATCTATCACATTGGTAGATACTCGTGACATTGGTGTCAAAACTTGAGGCCATTGCTTAGACATGTCATATCTACTGATATTTACCTACTTATCACGTACCTAAATTTTTTATAAGGTGAAATTTATAAAACGCCTTCTCTCGCCCACGGTTCGGCGAGATGAAGTGCAGACTCTTACTTAGGTACTTAGAACCCCTCGATTCCTTATCCTGCTACAAGCCGAGTATGGGTTTCTTATTGCGCTTGCCCTGCAAGCCCGCAAATATTTTTTGTGTCTTTGTCTACACGACCTGATTTGATCGGCTAGTTTAGATACCTCTGCCATCACGACATCCTCTCCTATATTTTTAATTCTTTGCACCGACAATCTGCGAATGAAAACACCTCTACAAACATAATTACAGAACAATACACTTGAAATTTTGTTCGTATCAGCGAGCGTGTTTCACGTGGGACGTATTATGCGGAACAGTTTTTCGGATGAGACATTCCCATTCAAATGTATGCTAAACGCCTAACCTTAGTTGCGAGGCGTATGAATAAAACAGGACTGTATCCGCGCCGTTATCTCAGTGCGAACCTCCATAGTCTCATGGTGGCAGTTTCAAGGAATTTACAGGTCAATGTACCCATTACGGACTGTTTGGTAAGTCAGCAGGTAGGTACAATCTACCTAGAACTCATGGTGTGAAATTTCTCAGAAAATAACTTGTAGGTAAATATCCAGATAGAATTCTCTGTGAAAGATTTCTTAGTCTCTCGTCTGCCTGTGGGTATATGAGACGAAATAGAAATTACTTTGTTTGCTTATATTAATGTTCCGGTAATTTAAAAGGGATTTGTATTGCGATAAGTATTCTAATAGTGTAACAAAGCAATGAATGCAAAATTCTGTGGATTGAATTCGATTTTTGACAATAAGTAGTTGTATGGTCTACAGAACCTATATTTTATTTGTTTTTATACTAGGCAAGTAGGTACCTACACACGCTTCATAACGTAATACTTTGAAATTTATACCTACTTACGTATTATACTAGAAAACGATCTCTCACTGTGAACGCAGCTATGAGCCCAGCGTTTCACAACATGAAAACAAACCATTCCAAATATTCCTATTTACCATAACTCACCTTACACTGATACCTTTTTATTATTCCACAAGAGGGCGACAGCGACACAGATAAGTTGATAAGTCACCAAGCGAAGCTATTAAGTATCGATATTGGAGGTAGATAAATCTCCTCTGTATTTGAAATTTGCAATCATCGAAGTGTTCACAGAGAGCCAATCAAATTGGCTCGATGCATAGAATATAAATGAGCTGGGTTTAAACACACTTACCCGTAGGTGCCAATTTTGCGAAATCATACCGTTTGAATATTCATAAAAGACTGAATTTTATTAACATAATTGCATTACTGCATACATCGAGGGAACAGCACTAAGTGTAATTTACTTCCTAGAATATGAACTAAGTACTTAATTTAACAAGCATTTTTTCATGTTTTATTATTCATTAGTTAATTTGAAAGTTTTATTAGTGACCTGAAGTGCACACGCAATTTGAATCGAGTTGTTTGACCAATTCACAGAGTACGAATTACGATGAGCTAGCGAATCCAATTACAAAATGATAATTCTGGTCCAGTGTTGGGCTTGTCGTAAGTTAGTTACATAACGAAAAGTCCAAAAACTTCTTTATCGACCACGAGTAATCATGGAGTTTCTTGCTCGTACATCTCCTTGGGAATCAATACTTTGTAACGAGCAGATAATAATAGGTAGGTATATGTAGCATCAATATAGGACTGACTTTCAAAATTGCCTATTATTGGCTAATTGAAATAAATGATTTGACTTGGGTCTTCCTGTTACTATAAACATTTATGCGTAAATGTATAATTAAGTATTATGTTTTTTTTATGTGTAACTATGTATCAAAACACGTAAGTATCACACCCTTAACGCTCTGAACATGTAAGCCTATTTACGCTTCGAAGGAACCGCGCAGAACGTATTAAAAATTTAAGAAAAATCGTATGTAACAGCTACATAATTGAGCGAATTTCGAATAGGTAAGCGAATACTTAACCCAAGGGAAAACCGCAGACTGGAGTTTTTATACCCTCATAAGCCATCAAAAATTAAAACGTTAGGTAGGCACATAAATCACCTAACCGATTGGGGATTTTTGTTATTCATCTCGAATTCCCCTTGACACCGACATATTTCATTAATATCTAAGTAATGCCTACCTGGCATTACGCACCTATGTTTTACACACATTATTACTTTCAATTTTATTGTAGAAAAGTATAAGGTAGGTTAAGGAATTTAAAAATAACAACTTTACACGTCACATCATAGCCAATATACCTACCACCACAGATGGGGCCCTATAGAGCTGATGTTCAGCCGGGGTTGCGGGGTAAGCGCAATGAGGCACCGCGACCTCGGCCCAGAACAGAAGAAGGAACAGGGGGGTTTTAGTCAGTAAGAGTCTGACACTCCCTCTCGCCCGATCCTGGGCGGGAGAAGTCAATTGATGATTTCCCCTCACAAAAAAAAAACAGCTCATACCTATCTAAGAAGTGCCCATAACTGGCGTCTGGCGGCAAATGCGTCTTCTCACACAGAGAAGTTTAAAGCATTAATCACCTCGCTCGCTCAAAGTGGATGGTCTATTTCAA